TTATGCTCTCCTTGCCTTTTCTAGCCCACATGGCTCTCTTCTCCAGCCTCTAATCATCACTCACAGTCACAACTAGTTCCTAGCATGTCCTTTTCCTTTCATTGAGAGTGTAAAGATGGACTGAGTTCAATGGAAGCCACAAACAAGTTGCTAAGAAATAGCTAACTATGTACTAGGTGCATGTGACAAATTAGCATCCCTCTAAACCCGTGTAGTCTTTACCATCTCTGGGGCTAATTGTGCCTATAGAGACACAGCCCTGGGGTGTGCTATCTTGGACTTGAAAGGCAGAGAGGGTAAGAAAGAAGAAGAGATTAACTGTGTCCAGTGCTTCTGACACTGAGATATGTCTAAGTGAGTGTATTAGAACCATTCCACAGTGATTTCAGGAGCAGTTTGAACAGGTGCTGGAGGTAAAGGCACCTACAGTTGTTTGCAAATGCATGGGAGACCCCAAGTAAGAGGCAGCAGCCTTGCTCTAAAATCTTCATTACAGAGGGTAACTACAGGATAAAATCTACAGCACATGGAAAACATGACACTTTTGGACAGGGGGAACCTCGGGCTGTCTCTACCAGATTGGCCTGTGGGCATGTCTGTGGGGACATTTTCTTAATTGCTAATTGATGTAGGAGTATCCAGCCCATTTTGGGGGTATGGGTACCATCCCTAGGCATGCAAGTCTAGGCTAGATAAGACAGCTTGCTAAGCAAGACAATAGAGAATGTTCCTCTATGGTCTTTGTTTAGTTCCTTCTTTGAGCTTTTCCCTGGCTTCCCTCAACAATGCACTGTAACCTGTAGCTAAAATAAACCCTTTCCTCCCCAAGATGCTATTGGCCAGAACTGTTTTATCACAGCAACAGGAAAGCAAACTAGAGCACACTACAAAGAAACAATGTCCTATATGAACCTTGAACACAATCAGGTGAGGTCACAGCACCAATGACCACACGCCAGGCTGGTAGCCAAGTCTGAGTGGGAAACAGCAAAGGGGAACAACAGGCTTTCTGGAAACAGATGGACTGTCCAAGGTCTGAACAGGTACATCCTAGCAGGCACAGCACACATATTTAAACCAGGATCCTTAAGTGCTGAGGGTAGGGGCATCCTTTACTTGATGTGTAAGCCAAAAGGCTGGAAGCGCAGGTTCTTAGGAAACCTCCGAAGAGAGCAGCTTGACTGGAACCAGCAGTGAGGAGAAATGACTGGGGACAGAATTATGCAGAATGAGGGCACTGGACAGAGAAAGCCCAGGAGAGAACAGAGCCAGGGAATCTCAAAAGCAAGGAGAAACACTTGCAAACACTTCACCAAGGGAACTGAAGAGGGTTCTGTCAACCAAGCCACCCTTCCAGAAGCTGAAGCAAAGGGACATGATAGATATTGAATGGGGGGGGGGCATTCAGGGGAGACCAAGCTGGAAGGTAAACACACAAGAAGTTAAGGAGGCAAGAGAGAGCAAAAATGAATCCTAACTGGGAAAAGTCCAAAACAAGGCAACAGAATCCAGAGGAGGAATTCAAATACCATTTCAGAAATGAGAACTGAGCCAGGTCTGTGAACCCCCAGCTACTTGAGAGGCTGAGGCAGGGAGATGGCTAATTCAAGGCCTGCCTGGGCTACAGAATGAGTTCAATGCCAGCCTGGGTGTGGTAGCCAGACTCTGTCTCAAACACTAAAGAAAACACATCCATTGTCTGGAGACAATGGATGGTTCAGCAGGGAAAGGTGCTTGCCACCAAGTCTAATGATCTGAGTTTGAGTCCTGGGACCCACGTGGTGGAAGAAGAGAATGGATTCCTACAAGTTGTCCTCCAATCTCCACACCTATAATATGGTGTAGATGGATGCACACAATGAGTAAATACATTTTTGTTTATTTGTTCTGTTTTGTTGTAAAGAGGCCTGGTAGAGCACTTGTCTAGCACATGTGAGATCCCAGCCTCAATCCCCAACAGAGAAGAGGGAGGAGGAAGAGGAGGAAAGACAGCCATTGTAGGTGGTAGAAACTTTAGGAGGTAGGGCTGGAGATAGCAGGTCATTGAAAGGGATGCAGGAACTCTAGTCCCTTCCTTCTTGTTTCTTGGCCATTATGAGGCGACCTATTTTTCTCTACCATGAATACGTGAAGCTGTGCATCACCACAGACTCAAAGACAAACAGTAAGCTGGGAGCCAAAACAAACCTTCTTCCTTCCTTAAGTTTTGTTACAGAGCAAGAAAAGCAACTGATACATCTGGAATCCCAAGAATATGCAAACAGGTCCTCATCAAAGTGAATTTCCCAGTACATGGATCTTGGACTTCCCAACCTTCAGAACTTATAAACGAACTTCTGTTGTTTATAAGCCATGTAATCTGTTACAGCACTCTAAGAATACAACACTCCATGTAACACACCCTCATACCCTAATCTCCTCTCTCATTAGAGAGGCAACTTCTGTTCTGAGTTTACTGTCCCTCATTTCCATATACACATTCCAGTTTTCTTACATACACATACACATTTATTTTCATACTGATACATATTTTACATAAACAGGATCTGCCTTTCACACACTATATATGTGCATGTGAGTGTGTGCATAAAAAACCTTTTACAATTTTTTTCAACATTATGTTTTAAGATTTCTCCATTGTTCCAGTCCATTTGTTTTGCCTGCTGCCTGTTATTTCATAGTACAATTTGAATTAAAAGTCATCTATCTATTCTTCCAGTTGCTAGATATTCAGATTATGCAGATTGTTTTCTGATTATAAATGATATATAAACATTCTTGTACATTTCTAGAACATGTCCTCTTGGGAATATAACCAGACGTTAGATTTCTTCTGAGAACAATACATAAACAATCTTAGAAAATTTCAATAATGTTATCATTGTCCCATCTTCACATCTCAGACTACTGGTCTACCTGTTTCTGTTTAGCAAGGACAGCCTTAAAGCCAGGGCAAGGAGTCAAACTTTTAAAAAATTGAAACAAAAACTCAGACATCTATTTCTCTTTGAACTGAAGACGTGAAACCAGCCCACAGAAATAACAAATGCTGGTCGTTTTAACAGCAGCTTGAATGCCTAACTCAACTCAAGCAGCCAGGACTGCTACTCGATGATTCCTGCCCATCAAAATCTGGGGCAGGGCTATAGCCACTACCCATAATTTCAGAAACAGAAGATGGCCCTCTTCTAATTTTGCAGTAATTATTTTTTAAAGGTTTGGTGGTGGGGGGGGGGTTGAGACACGGTTTCTCTGTGTAACCTTGGCTATCCTGGAACTCATGCTGTAGGTCAGGTTGGTCTCAAACTCACAGAGATCTGCCTGCCTCTGCCTCCTTAGTACTTGGGATTAAAGGTGTGCGCCACCACTATCTGGCATATTTTTAAAAAACATTGTGTGTGTGTGCACGCACACACTCAGGTGCACACCTGATCATACATACATGCCCATGTGAGAGAGCACATGTGGAGGTCAAAGGATAACTTATGAGAGTCAATTCTTTCTTCCCACCATATGTCTTCTGGGGATCAAACTCAGGTTGTAAAACTTGGGGCAACAAGCAGCTTCACCTGCTGAGCCCTCGCACGCACGGCACCCCACCTCTCTTCTTTTTAGATGCTAGTGAGGCATTTGGCTTTGCTCCATACTCCCTCCCACAGCGAGGTACTTGGCTTTGGCTCCCACTTTGAGGTCTTGCCTCACCCCAGCCCAAAGAAGCAACACCAACTGACAACAGTCTGACATCATGAACCGAACCAAAACAAAACCCCTGTTCTTCAAGTTGATTGTCTTGGATATTTTGATTCTACAACTGAAACTAACCAACACAAGCACTGCATATGCCTAGTAGGTTCTGTACAGTCAGCAGCCAACTATGTTCATCTGTTCAACAGCATCTGCTGAGAACCTTACAAGTCTCAATCCAGGCCTGGCTTGGGGCTTCTGGGTACCTACTTGAGGGTGTACTCAAGTCTCAAGTAAGCAGAAATACCAAAAGCCACATACTCAGGTCAGGAAACAGGTGACACGGAACATTCCATGGAGGCCTTAGTTATACCTTCTCCTACTTGGTCCCTTCATCCCATCTTCCCATCATGCGTTCCATTCCCCAACACTCTTGGGCGCCTACTAATTTTATGTTAATGTGACTGGGCCACAGAATGCCCAGATATTTGGTCATATCATCCTGGGTGCTTCGGATGACATACTGAGCAGATTGTTCTCCCGCATCCAGTCACATAAAGGCCTAGACAGGACATGGACAAAACTGGTCTTCTGAATAAAAGAGAGCTCTTGTCCAGACATGGTGGTATATGCCTTTAATCCCAGCACACTGCAGTACAGGCAAAGTACAAGGATCTCTGTGAGTTTGAGGATAGCCTGGTTTACATAGTGAGTTCCAGGCTCTCCTAGGCTATATAGTGAGACACTATCCAGACAGACAGACAGATGTTGTTTCTGCTTGGTAGCCTCCAAATTAGAAATTATTTGTCTCCCATGTTTTCAATCAAACCAAACAAGCCTTTTCTGGGTCAAAAGGCTATTAGCCTCTGGACTAGAACTCTGCCCTAGGCTTTCCTGGTTCTGTGGCCTCCACACTTTAACTAAAGCAGCTATTGGCCTTTTGGGTTCCTTGGAAACAGATGCTGGGGTTTGACAGTCTTCATAATGACATGATTCAATTTCTTATAATCATTTATGTGTGTGTGCATACTTATTTACACACATATATACTCTTGGTTCTGTTTCTCTAGTTTTTGTCCTGTGCTGCTGGCTCCAGTACCTAGGAACCAATGCATTCTAAAATTCCAGCATGGCTTCAGTCCCTACAAGGTATCCTCTGAGGTTGTACATAGAGTGTTTTGGCACTATTGCCTGTGGTCTACTTGCAGAACTCTGAGAATTTTCCATGGCCCACTTCCTCACAGCCTCTTATCCCTCAGGTCATCAAGTCTTATGAACCAATCAATGGACCATCATCTCCTAACACCCCATCTCACCTCCAGGCACACATTGGAAGCCATCCCCCTGATAACCAGGTTTGCATTGGCATGTGAAGGATCCTGGTGTGTTGTAGCAGACGGCATCAGGGTGACATCGGCTGAGCTGGCATTCATCCATGTCTGTAAAACAGCCACAGGCCCAGAGGCCATGAGATTGCTTCAAGAATTTGTGGTTGATACAATAATTTAATCCATGCACTCAAATCTATGTGAATCTGCTTTTAATTAGAGTCTAAGGACTTTAAACTCACTAAATATTAATTTTTAAGACATTTGCACCCCATCTTCTATCTAGTACATTTGCAAATGTGTTTCATGTGAGAATAATGCTTTCAGGAAACATAGAGCTTGCAAAAGGGAAAAATTTGCACTGTCAGATGTTCCCTCTTTATTGTAAGCAAGAGCCTCTATAACTCTTAAGTGTTTGGAGAAGAGAAAATTACATAGCCAATAACAGAGAGAAATGGCATCTCTGAAATCTTTGTTGAACTTAAGTTCTGTACAATATTGCATAATTTTACAAGAGCCCTGAGTTACTCTGTTAATTACTATTACAAGTCCCCTGGCAGCTAACTATGGGTTGGTTCCAAGCCTGGAAAGATTCTGTGATGTCATTTCTTCTCTGACTTCACTTCTTGTGCCGGAGAGAGCAAGTTCATTACATACAAAGATGGACATTAAACACTGTGCAAGCAAGGACTGTCTGGAGTTTCAAAAAACAAGCAACCCTTAGTTCCCAGACTAGAACACTATCGAACTGCTGCCTAATGAAGCAAGGCTTGGGGTCAGGGGACCCTATATAGGTCCCAAATAAGAACAACTCTCCAAGAAAACGCACAGTTCCAGTTGCTGACAAGATAGAAAAGGCTCTTGCCCAATGGAGCAAAAAGAACACATCCTCCTTACAGATAGGGAGTGTAGATGATTAGCACACAGTAAGTTACCACCCAGGCCATTCTTCAGAACCACCACATACCTTGGCAGGCTCTGCCATCCCCAGAGAAGCCAGGCAGACAGGAACAGGTGTAGGAGGAGCCGCCCATATAGATGCACTGAGCCCGCTGGGGGATATCACAGTTGTGGAGACCAGTTTCACAGTAGTTGATGGGCCGCTGGTCCTCATCAGCTTAAGAACAAAGAAATGAACACATATCTTTGGAAGAAAGTCTCAAAACAGGTAGGTATTCTTCCAAGCTCTCTGCACACCAGTGACTTGACTCAGTGGGGGCTCTGAGAAGGGACTGTGTCTGGATGCTGCTTGGGTCCAGATCATACTATTCTCTTCAGTCACCATGTTCCATGCCATTGTACCTAGGGTTTCATAGACCTGAAGTGCTCTACCAGTGAGCTGCATCTCTAGTCCAGGTGGGCCTGAAATTTACTCTGTAGGCCAAGAAGCCTTGAACTGTGATCTCCTCACTTTAGCCTTTCAAGGAGCTGAAATCAAAGGTCTACACCACCAGGTCTGGCTTAATTTTGAGCAATGAAATCCATTACTCAATCAGATTATGCAGAATTTGATCTATAGACAAATGGAAGGTTGGGGCCAGGAGAGAGGACAAGGATTGGCCTGTGACTCCCCCACACCCTCCTAGGCAGCTCCTTGAGGCATCTCTAGGGGTTCCACAGGCTGTAGGAAGTGCCTCATTTAGAAGATGGAGAGCTAAGGCCTGGGAGGTTAAATGTCTTGCTGAGAACAGATGTCTGCGAGAAGACACAGCCTCTGTCTTGCACTCTGTTCTGCCCTGCTCTCAAGTGAATGTGGTCTTAGGCAATGGGTAGACCCAGGCCAATCTGCCTCCCTCACATAGACCCCAGGTTAGATCTCCATGAGGCCTAACTCTTTCCAGTCTACCACTCTTCTGAGCCAACCAGGGATGTCAATGTTGTTATATTAAAAGCTAAGTTTAGAACCTCCCCAGGCTCAAAACTCATAGGAAAAAATCAGGCCAAGAAAACCGATATTCTCTGCTAAAATGGAAAAAAAAAAAAAAAAGTTTCAACACAGCATGCTAAAATCTCAGCTCTGTGCAACAAAGACGGCTGGCCTCCTGGGTGCACAGATGTTTGGGTCACACTCAAATCCTGAGAACTGTCTGTTCCCTCCCGTCCTACAGACACCACCTCATCCAGGCTTTGGCTCCTCATCCAAGCTCTGAGATGGAGCAAAGGGAACGCATGCATACTGGTCACAGTAAACAGCCAGAGAGCACATGGGGACAGGACAATGACTGGAACAGTTAGTTTCTGTTTTAACTCTGACACACACATATGGACCATTCGGCATATTAGCCTGTAGACCTGGGAATCTCCATGAATCTTTGAGATTCAATTCTTAGAACTTGGGGGCTGGATGTATGTGTGTATGCATGTATGTACATACACACATGCATGGGATAAATCTGGGTTGAGTACTTGCTAAGCATGCATGAGACCATGGGTTCCATTCCCAGCACTGATAGATTGGGCATGGCAGTGCATGCTTACAATTCCATTGTTCTGGAGGGTAAAGGTGGGAGGATACAAAGTTCAAAGTCACATTTTACTACATGTAGCAGTGATTTTGAGGTCAGCCTATGATACATGATACCCTGACTCAAAGAGAGTAAAAAAATATCTTGGATATAATATGCCAATATGAAGTGGAAGGTAACATGTCAAAAACTTTGTTCTTCATGACTGGCCCAGCATCTTCATTAACAACATCAATCAAGAACATAATTATCTTAATGAATTAATAAAATCAATGTACTTTAGTAAGTCTAAAAAGGTATGCTTCAGCTTGTGGTTTATTAAAGTAGGACTATAAATGGCATGATGCTAAGTAGGTAGAATTCAATCTAAGGCGACTAAGAGCATGAAGGCACTTCACCATTAACTCCAAGTGCAAGGAAAGTTTCCATGGGTGAACTGATGCATTGCTAGTACGTACTAGGGTATGAATTACAAGAACACGTTTGCTCCTGGTAGCCATAACCATCTAAGCAGGTGGAGGGCAGGACTTCTTCTCATCCCCCCTGTAGTCTGCTCCTAGTAGCAGAAACTGGTGTCTGCTTTTCCACCAGGATCAAAACCCATAATCATTTCTTTCCCACAGAGGTAGTCACCCCAGGAAAATTTCTTACAAAACTTACCCACGCATATTCCCCCGTCTGAAAAGTGGTAGCCCTCCACGCACTCACAGCGGTAGGCTCCTGGGTAATTGTTGCAGATTGCATGGTTTCCACATCTGGAAGGCTGCTCTGAACATTCATCAATATCTGCAGCAAATTATTGATTTAAAAAAATGCAGACTTTTTAAACCTCATGAGACATAATCAAAGAGAAAGCATTTTCCACAGGGAAGAGATCCATTTGAAGACAGATTTTTCTATATGCCCAAAGTATTATGAAATAGAAATTGTTTTTTGCCTTTTATATAACATAGAGTGCAACTCTCAGTGATGTATGCTTCCTTCTGAGTGAATAACCAAAGGGATACCTGTTGTGTGCACTTTCCTGCCAGCCTGGTCCCAGAGCCTCGTGAGTCCCAAAATAACACACAGAGACTCTATTAGTTATAAAGCTGTTGGCCAATGTCTAGAACTTCTTATTGGCTAGCTCTGTCTTAAATATTAACTCATTTCTATCATCTAAGTGTTCCCATGTGTTCTTTCCGGAGAGAGAGTCTGAACCTCTTATTCCTCTCATGGCCTATATCTTGACTTCTTTCTACTACTTCTCTCAGAATCTTCCTTGTGTCCTAGTCCCGCCTATCTTCCTTCCTATTTGCCAACAGTGCTTTATTTATGAACCAATAAGAGAAACATATTTCCAGAATGACATCTTCCATCAGACACCCATCCAAATAAGCCACTCAGAATGGACTGGCAAAACAAAATTAGAAGATACAGAGAACTTCTCTTGCAGAGGACCCAGGTTTGGTAAATCTTTAAAAATAAACTACCTTTCTACAGTTATGACTATAAAGAAAGGCTACACAACTTATAGCCAATTGAGAATTTGTGAATGATACCTAGGATTTAACGGATGTGGGCCAAGGGAGCATGCAGCATGCTCAAGACATGCAGTCATGATTATAACCATCACTCATCTATTGCATAGCCCTAGTGCATTTTGGGAAGACAGCTCTCAGATGGCCACCAGACTTTGGAGGCCATCTATGGCTACCAATAATAGTATAAGGTTGGTTGCTCTGGATGAAAAGCAGTGTTGATCCCTCATTACTCTATCAGTCCAATGACAAGTTGAAATGTAGCCACATAAGGTATTTCCTGTACTGGCCTGATACTCAAGAAGGTCCACAGTATTTCCTGAGATAGGTACACAAAGGGTCTTATAATGACTGGTACTATTCAACCCTCTTCCCTTTCAAGTTCCCTAATGTGAACTGTTCACACCCAGAAAGCAAAGCATCCTTCAATGGATAGCTTGCCTGCTACCCTTCCTTTTTCGGAGAAAAAAAAAAGTCTGCTGATTTACTGGACAACATTGCATAAAACAAGCATTTTGCAACATTAGCTCTGTAGTTTGCCCTACACCTTCACAAAACATATACTATTTAATTTTTAAAAAGTAAGTGTGTTTGTATGTGTATCTCCGACAAGTGAACCTTGCCAGAAACAGCTGGAGTGGTAGAGAGCAGCATGGGTTGGAGCTAGGATTAATGTGGGGGGGGGGGTCACATAAGCCCATCTGTCAGATGCTGCTCCCACAGGGTGGAGCACAGTCTCTCATGCCTACCACCTGTGCTCTGTACTGCTCCCAGAATTCTCACAGCTGGTGGCAGGACCCCAGTGCTGGGCTGCTTTCTGAAGGCTCAGACCCAACCGAACACCAGAGCAGAACAGCAGTTTTCCATCTAAAGGCCAGGGCCAAGTCAGAAGCGAACTTGTCCAAGCCCCTTCCTTGCTGGGAACATTTACGGAGGGGGTGGGGAGAGATGCGTTGTGCAAGAGTTGCAGAGGCTACAGCAGGACAACAGGACCTGGGCATAGTGGGGTCAGGGAGGACAGCTTTACAATATCAGGTCTGTAAGGAGAAGCCAGGCTGGACACCACTGTTTCTTTTTAGGGACAAGACCCGCCCAATGTCCCCACTAAGGTCTTTGAAGTTCTCCTCGTGTGTGATTTAAATGTCTTCTGTTGACTGAGTCCAAGTCCTTAACCCTTTCTTTAATGGAAATAGCAACCCTGTTACTATGGTGACTATCTGTCATAGCACCCCACAACAATGACAAAGAGGATTTTCCCACATCTGGTCAACTTTGTCTCTGAAAAGAGAAGAACCCCATTTTAACTCAGTAGAAAACCATGATTATTTATTTTTATTTTTAAGAAGGTTTTCTTTTTTGTTTTTTGTTGTTGTTTTGTTTTGTTTTTATTTTTTTTCTTTTTAGCTGTTTTGTTTTTGGTTTGGTTTGGTTTAGTTTGGTATCTTCATATAGCCCAGGCTGGCCTCAAGCTCACAATCCTCTTGCTTCCACTACTGAGTGCTGTGATCACAGGTGTGTTCCACATACTCAGTTTAGAATTACTTTTTAAAATTACTATTGCTGTGTGGTATGTATGTATGTATGTATGTATGTATGTATGTGTGTGTATGTATGTATGAGGGTGCACACATGGCACTGCATGCATGTGGGGTTCAGAGGACAACTTTGGGGAGTCAGTTGGAGCAGAGTCTGTTGCTTCTGCTGTGCTGTGTACTCCAGCCTAGCCTGCCCTAGAGCTTCCTCGAGGGTCTCCTATCTGTGCCTCCCTCCCATCTTGCCATAGGAGGCTTGGGATTACAGGTTTGTGCCACCACACCCAGCTTTTGGCATTGGTTCTAGGACTTGAACTTGGATTGTCAGACTTGTGCAGCTGCCATCTCACCAGTCCTGGATTAATCCTTTGACTTTTCCCCACATTGACTAGCTTTGGTACAGTTTCAATATCTCTGCAATTTACATCTCTTATAAAGGCCAGGCCCTTCAAGGAGGTTATCAATATGTGGAATGCTTCCTAGAAACTCAGAAATTATTCACTGAGGTGTTAACTAACACTGCTACTCTAGATTACCATGTGAGGGATACGTGGGTGCCATTGTGCTGTGAACCCCAAGTGAATCGCTGAGCTCTGAAAGTGTCTGAAAATCTCTTCCTGGTTACCTGGAGAGGCTCACTGGGAGACAGTAGCCAAAAGCATGTTGCTTTGCATGTCATGAATCATCGTATCCCACCACAGACTTGAATCACAGAGGTTCACCCTAGATCTCCTCTCAGAGCCTCCCCAGGTTAAAACAACTCATAAAGTCAGATGCTTGATGCAATTTCCTATCAAAAGCCTCATGTCCAGATGCATTAGCACTGATGCTTGTTCTGGTAACTCAGAACAATGAGTAGCCTGACTCAGGACATCCCCACATTCCACCAGGCTAATACTCCAGAATGATGACCGACCAAGGACAAAAGCAAATGCGTGCATGGCCACCCATCTTCCTGAACAAGGCTGGCCAAGGATTTCCAGGCACAAGTGCAGAGTGCATAAAGCACAGGACAGCAGTAGGGGTGGGGGATGTCTCTTCAGAGGACCACTCCCTGGGACAAGCTCTGACACCAAGAGCAGCGTGAGAAAGTCACAGTAAGCAGACACATGGACACATGTGATGGTTAACATTGATGATCAGCTAGTCTGGACCTGGAATCACACAGGAGACAAGTCTCTAGGCATAGCTGTGAGGGAATTTCTACATTGAGTTCATTGGGGTGGGAAAATTTATTCTAACTATCCATAGTACCATCCCATGGGCTGGGGTCCTAGACTGAACAAAAAAGAGAAAGCTAGCTGAGAGCCAGAATTCATCTCTCTCTCTCTGCTATTGACACCCATGTGGGCAGTTCCCTCATGCTCCTGCTGTCATGCCTTCTCTGCCATGATAGACTACCTTCAAATTATGAGCCAAAAATAAACCTTTCCTTCCTTAGTTACTGTATTGGATATTTTGTGACAGCAACAGGAAAAGGAACTTCATCAATATGTAGGTAGTTGGTGACATATACAGACTGAGAAGTTACGGAAACTTAAAGGAATCCCTCATCCCCAACACAGTCCCCCCCCCAACCCCAATCACCTTCATGACAGGCTTCCACTCGCTTAAGATAGCACTGTGCTGCTGGAAACTGTCCTGAGCCAACACAGTCATTCATGACAGGGAAGGACTGGCCATTGACAGTCACAGGCTGGTCAGTTCTGTGTCCCCTCTGCCATACTCTATGACCATGTAGGTGAGTAGTAGATTGAATACTACCAGATACACAAAGTCATCAGCATCACGTCATCCATATGTAAGCACAACCCTGCTTGCCAGTGTTTCAGGTTACCATGAACAAGCATCCTGCAGGGAAGGGTCACTCCTAAGCAAACCCCTCCCCGTGCCCTGCATGATCAGGATCTACACACCAGATCTGCCTCTTGGTAGCAAGATGGGATTCCAGACCTACTGCACAATTTCCAATCCCCAAGCATTTGGCTTTCCAGGGCTGGTTCCCTACTGATGAAAGGATGAAAGTAGCAGCCCATTTTGCTGGGTGGATACTTGTGAGCACACCCTTCATTTACCAGGGAAACCTACTCTAAAACGCTTTCTCATTAGGAGTGCTTCAGTGCAGACTTAAGTAGCACTAGTCAAGTGCCTGACACTCTTGCCTTTAGCAATGGACAAACTGTTCTTTGGTAATAGATTAAGATTCAGTTACCAATGAATATCAAGCTGTCTACATGAAAGTCTCGAAGTTTAATTTTAAATAATAAAATAAATGATGCCAGAAGGCAGTGCACTAACTACAGATGGTCCTGTAAGAGACTCGAGTTACTCACTGGCTCACTTTAGTGAGCTAACATTAATGTCCCTGGCTCATATAATGAGCCTCAGTTACTATTAATTAAAGAAAAAGCAGTGCTGACAAAGCTATAGGAAAATTAGAGCTGGGGCACCAAAGTAGTCAGCAAAGCATTTGCCATGCCAGCATGAGGACCTGAGTGACATCCCTAGAGCCCACACAGAAAGAAGGAGCCCTTCATCTGAATGGATAGAAAAGAAAAAAAAAAGGTCTGTGTGTGTGTGTGTGTGTGTGCACGCGCACACACACACGTGAGATGCAGTACATAATGTAATGTAGTAGTGTTTAGCCTTCAAAGAAAAAAGACACTGTAACATATGCCATGACATCTTAAGTAGAGATATGCTCAAGATTCAAGATTGTGATAGTGGCTTATTTCCTATCGCATACACCATCTAGAATCTTGAGCAAATAAGCCAGTGACAAAAGGATAAATACTGTGTGCTTCCACATATTGTCACACATTCAACAGACTCATTCCTGTGACATACACTCAGCTTTCTGTCTTACAGAACCTGGATGCTTCCTCCCAGCCCGACAGCCCAGCACCTCACACATTAGACCAAAAAGCAATACCATAACAAGTCTGCCCATCTCCTCGGAAGCCAATGGAACATTCGCAGGTGAACTGTGTTCCAGAGCCAGGGCGACAGGCTGCGTTGCTGTCACACCCATGAGTGCCGATGTAGCATGGATTCTGAAGTGCATCAGGGGAGCCCTCTGTGAAGGTAGAGACAATGTTCAAACACCTTCCAGCAGCCCTCCTCCCACAGGAAGTAAGCCGATACCATAAGAGAGCAGAACAATGGGACCAGAGCCTTGTATGCTGCACTACGGTGGGAGCACCAAGCTCTACCCCTCTAACCTCGAACTCTGTTTCTATAAATAGTGTTACAAACAAGTCACACTCCTTTGTGAGAGACTGTGACAGAAAATGAGATGTTTGTGGCTGGCTAAGACCAGAAAACAGTAACAAAATTGTGTGTGTGCATGTGTGTTTAAATTAAATGAGAAAAGTCCCCCACTTGGTGATGTTTGGGGTGGGGGTGGTGGTGGAACCTTTGGGAGGTGGAACCTTGCTGGACCAGAAGTAAGTTACATGGTGTGTGTGGGGGGGGGAGTTCACTCTTTCTGCTTCGTTTGCAGCTAAAGATGTAATCTCTCAGCTTCACGCTCCAGCCACCTGTTGCCCCCTCCCAATTATGGATTACTCCTCTGGAACCCTAAGGTAAAATTAACTCTTTATTTTATAAGTTGATTCCTGTCCTGGTATTTTACTATAGAAACAGAAAAGGAACTAAAACATACACCCTATAGAGTACTATTTAGCCATGAGAAGAGATGGCACCCTTTGAACCTGAGTACATGGGAGAGCCTGGAGGTCATTATGTTGAGTGACTGACAAGTCAGACTCAGAAAGACTAATCCTGGCTTCTGCAGGTGGGAGAGGATGGAGGGGCTGGGGAGAAGGTGAGGGGATGGTGGACAGGTATAAGGGTACATTTTGAATGGAGGGAATAAGGTCTAATGACAATAATTAATTACACAAGTCAAAATAACTAGTAAAGATTCTGTTCTCAACACTGAGAAATGAGACATGTTTTCAGGTGGCCATGTCCATTGCCCTTACCTAATCCCTGCACACTGGATACACCTGCTGAAACTAGTTAGCTCATATCCCACAATTCAATTTTTAACGTGATCCTTTAAAAAGTAAAAATGAGTTCTTAAGAAATGTTCACTAGAGTCCAAACTAGCCTTTGGCTGGTTGGCTCTGTGAGGGAACTCATCTGGGTAGCCCTCTACCCTGAAAGCTCATGAATAAATAGCCCAGACACCCCCATGAATAGGCCTTTGGTTGAAAGAACAAAGGCAGGTCTGTTTGCCAAGAGTGATGACCATACTTTCACAGGCTGACTGCCATTTTCTTCTATAGACTGAGAATAAGAGACCAAAATCCCAAAGCCAAGAAACAGAGCTTTTGACAAGTATGAGTGCCGAGTCGTGTGCAGGAAGCACACGGGTGATGCCAGCGTGAGCTGTGCCCATCTTACCCCTCACAGGTCCAATGGAGTTGCTGAGGGCATAGCGCAAAATCCTTTCCTCTGGGTTGTACAGGACAAACACACTGTCCACAGAGAGCTGCTGGGTACTGGGCAGGGCTGGCCTGGAGTCATCATGGACACACTCCTGGAAGGTGATGGTCTGACGCCACTGGTAAACATAGGTGTGTGAGGATGCATCGCCATCCGGATCAGTCACTGTGTACTCCCGGGTGGAGGAGGAAGTGATCACTGAGGTGTGGGAGGAAGACAGAAGCTTCAACAAAGGCTTTGGGGGCATCAGTAGCAGTCCCTACCCACAATGAAGTCAGATGACAGGACTACTGGGGCAACCAAATAGGACCATTTGTGCTGACTTGTGCTAAAGCTCCCAAGACACTGAAAACTAGAGATGAGGCCCAGCAGAAAAGGCAGCCGCTCAGTGCCCCCCAGCTGAGTAACCACCAACCTGGTACTAGCTGCTTTTGCCTCAGCTTCTGTTTCAGAAGGAGCTAGGGTGAGAAACTAACAAGACCACATTTCTAAATTACTTGAGATCAAGCATTTACTACATTAGTGGCATTAGAACCGGTTTCATGATAAAGGTATTAGAGAGGTCAGGGATAACAGGAACATACCTAAACATAATAAGAGCAATATACAGCAAACCAACTGCCAACATCAAACTGAATGGAGAGAAACTTAAGCCAATTCCTCTAAAATCAGGAACAAGACAAGGCTGTCCTCTCTCTCCATATCTCTTCAATATCGTACTAGAAGTTCTAGCTAATGCTATAAGACAACAAAAGGAGATCAAGGGCATCCAAATTGGAAAGGAAGAAGTCAAACTGTCTCTATTTGCAGATGATATGATAGTTTACATAAGCGACCCAATAAACTCTACCAGGGAACTCCTACAGCTGATAAACACCTTCAGCAAACTAGCAGGATACAAGATAAACTCAAAAAAATCAGTAGCCCTATTTTTTTCAGACGACAAAGAGGCAGAGAAAGAAATCAGAGAAACATCACCCTTTACAATAGCCACAAGCAACATAAAGTATCTTGGTGTAACGCTTACCAAACAAGTAAAAGATCTATATAATAAGAACTTTGTGACTCTAAAGAAAGAAATTAAAGAAGATACCAGAAAATGGAAAGACCTCCCATGCTCTTGGATAGGTAGGATAAACATAGTAAAAATGGCAATCTTACCAAAAGCAATCTACAGATTCAATGCAATCCCCATTAAAATCCCACCACAATTCTTCACCGACCTTGAAAGGATAATAATCAACTTTATATGGAAAAACAAAAGACCCAGGATAGCCAAAACAACCCTATACAATAAAAGAACATCAGGAGGCATCACCATTCCTGACTTTAAGCTCTACTATAGAGCTATAGTTCTGAAAACAGCCTGGTATTGGCATAAAAATAGACAGGTAGACCAATGGAATCGAATTGAAAATCCTGATATTAATCCACGCACCTATGAACACCTGATTTTCGACAAAACAGCTAAAATTATACAATGGGGCAAAGACAGCATCTTCAACAAATGGTGCTGGCACAATTGGATGAGGGTGTGTAGAAGACTGCAGATAGACCCATGTCTGTCGCCATGCACAAAACTCAAGTCCAAATGGATCAAAGACCTCAACATCAATCCAGCCACATTGAACCTCTTAGAAGAGAAAGTAGGAGGTACCCTTGAACAAATTGGTATAGGAGACCGCTTCTTGAACATAACTCCAGGGGCACAAACACTGAAAGAAACAATTAATAAATGGGACCTCTTCAAACTTAGAAGCTTCTGTAAGGCAAAGGACACAGTTGACAAGACCAAACGGCAGCCCACTGACTGGGAAAAGATTTTCACTAATCCTATATCCGACAAAGGGCTGATCTCCAAAATATACAAAGAACTCAAGAAACTAGTCAACAAAACACCAAATAACCCTATTAAAAAATGGGGTACAGAACTGAAGAAAGAATTCTCAATGGAGGAAATCAAAAAGGCTGAAAGACACTTAAGAAAATGCTCCACATCCTTAGCTATCAGGGAAATGCAAATCAAAACAACTTTGAGATACCATCTTACCCCTGCCAGAATGGCTAAAATTAGAAACACCAGTGATGACTTATGTTGGAGAGGATGTGGAGAAAGTGGAACACTCCTCCACTGCTGGTGGGAGTGCAAACTCATACAGCCACTTTGGAGATCAGTATGGCGGTTCCTCAGGAAAATGGGAATTAGTTTACCACAGGACCCGGCAATCCCCCTCTTAGGCATATACCCAAAGGATTCACATCAATGCAACAAAGACATCTGTTCAACTATGTTCATAGCAGCACTATTTGTAATAGCAAGAACCTGGAAGCAACCTAGATGCCCTTCAATTGAAGAATGGTTAATGAAGATGTGGCACATCTACACAATGGAATACTACTCTGCAGAAAAAAATAATGGTATCTTGAAATTCGCAGGCAAGTGGATGGCACTTGAAGAAACCATCCTGAATGAGGTAACCCAGTCACAAAAAGAGGAACACAGTATGTACTCACTCATATATGGATTTTAGACCTAGATCAAATGATCACCAGCCTATAATTCACATCACCAGAGGAACTAGGATACAAGTTGTATTCTAAGAGATTCATATAAAGTCCCTCACAGAACTGGGAAGGGACAAGTCCCCCAGACCTCAGGTATAGTGGGGGAGGACAGCTAATGGAGAGAGAAGTAGGAGAAAATGAGAGGGAGGAGAGGAAGGCATGTGCGACCAGGAGGATTGAGCCTGGTTAGGAATGGAAAATAGGAAAGAGAGAGAGAGACAGAGACAGAGAGAGAGAACATAAAAGAGGGAGCCAATATTGGTTTGAAGATAAAGTTGAACACAAAGAAAGGTCGAGGGAACTACAAGACTGCTCCCAACTAACAATCTCAGCTTCCGTGGAAAGGCTATCATAAATGCCCTTCCCGGAGAGTGAGATCAACAACTAACTTCTCCATGGAGTCCTCAACTAATGCCTGTTGAAAACAGGAGCAAACACCCATACATAAACACTGAGTCAAACTAGAACCCAGAAGCAGATGGAGAGGACAAGACCATGCGGTAGAAGTACATAGAGACAGCTTACCTGAACAAGGAGGAGCTAAGGGCCACTAGACTGATAGCTGGGAAGCCAACAGGGGTCTGACTCGGACCCCCCTGAATATGGGTCTCAGCCAGAAGGTCTGAGCAGTCTAAGAGACCTCAGACAGTGGAGCCAGGATGTATCCCTGGTGCACAAAAGGACTTTGCAAACATATCCCCCATGGAGGGATAACTGCCTTATTCTAGAGATAGGAGAGAAGCCCTAGTCCCTACTTCACAGGACCTGTCAGATCTACATGACCCCAACTGGATGGCATTCCCCTACATATTGTATTGTGGTGGGGGGTTGGGAGGGGAGGGTGTTTAGAGTGCATGGGAGAGGGTAGAGAGGGCAAAAGGGAGGGAAGGAGGGAGGGAGGGCTTGGGGGGAGGGAGGGAGGGAGGGAGGGAGGGAGAGGGAACTGGGATCGACATGTAAAATAATTAAAAAAAAAAAACGCTTTGACTCCAAAATTTAAGTTGAAGAACAAGTTACTGGGGAAAAGTATTTCTATTTTTGTTTCCACAGAAAATGAAAAGATGTGGATTCCTTCCAGACTAATGTGGTTTGATCACACCAGACCGCCTGAAACAGAGTACAAGCTGATCCTACATTCCAAACAGCTGGACAAAACAGCCCTACAGACTACAGCTAGGATATCTGAATCTTCTTCGAATCCCCCAAGACAGCGCCCCTTACCAGCAGGAAGTAGTTTGGAAAGAACGACGCCCAAATTCCCAAATATTGTGTATAAATGTTTGTTTTCATTTAATTAGACTTTGTTATATAAAATTAAATAAAAAATACTCTATATGCATAAAAAAAAAAAAAAAAAAAAAAAAAAAAAAAGAACCGGTTTCTATAGGATTTCTCACCTAGGAATCAATAAATAGTGGCTGTTCCCAACCATCTTAGATTAGATAGTTCTACAGTATTAAAAGATACAATATGGAATGTTTTGTAGCAGCCAACTGTGGAAAAATTATCAAGAGTAATATCAGTCAAGGAGAGGGTAGACAGTCTCCCCACCCAGAAGAGAGTGGGAATTAGCCCAGGCAACAGAGCCCTCCACTGCCCTTTTTGTTTTTTTTAAAGTATAAAAGACCCTTTTTATTTCTGAGTTCTGTTGCAGCCTGTTCCATATGAGAACCATGAAAGCCAGAGAATAAATAAAAGATCAGTGTGCACTGTCTCCCATCCAGCTCCCATAGGCTGGCTGCCAGCAAGCCATCTGGCTGCAGGCAGTCTAGGGCCCTTGGCCCTGTTTCTCCTTCCTTCCACAGGCTCTCAGCCCTGGCCATGGGTACCACCTTCCTGGATGGTGCTTTCTTTCTTTCTTTCTTTCTTTCTTTCTTTCTTTCTTTCTTTCATTTATTTATTTAGTTTTTTGAGACAGGATTTCTCTGTGGCTTTGGAGGCTGTCCTGAAACTACCTGGAACTAGCTCTGGTAGACCAGGCTGGTCTAGAACTCACAGAGATACGCCTGCTTCTGCCTCCCGAGTGCCTTGACTAAAGGCATGCACCACCACCACCACTGGGCTGGATGGTGCTTTCTTTAACAACAGCATTTTTAAAGTTTGTATCGTTTGACTCAGCATCTATTTCTAGGAACTCAGTCTCAGAAAAGGGTCAGAAAGCCAGGCCTGATAATGCAGGCCTGGCATCCCAGCTACTTGGGAAGCTGAGGCAGAAGGACTGCAAATTCAAGGTCTGTTTGAGCTACAGAATGAGTTCAAGTTCAGTCTAGGCAACTTATAAATACTAAACAAACAAACCAACAAAAAATCAAAAAAAGGAGCTGTAGCTTAGTGGTAGGACATTTGTCTGGTACGCACACAAAACCCAGTGTTCTGTTCCCAGTACTGCAAGTGTCAAACATTTGGCCAAGAGTTTGGGATACGCTTAGCATTGTAGCATTTGCTGAGGTTCTCATTTCAGTCCCAGCAGCATGAACAGCAACAACCAAACGGAAATGTGACCAAGTTTCATGATGCAAGAGGTCATTTCAACTCATCGTGAGAGGGGGAAAGAGGACCACCCAGTAGAATGAGGGCAGGTTTCTTTTTTCTTTTTTTTATTTTTATTTTACATATCGATCGCAGTTCCCTCTCCCTCCCTCTGTTTTTCCCTTTCTCCCATCCTCTCATGCCCCCTGACCACCCTGCCCTCCCATCCCCCACCACTGCACATGTAGGGTGATGCCTTCCAGGAGGGCGTCATCTAAATCTGTCAAGTCATTTGGAGTAGGGACTAGGCCTTCTCTCCTGTCTCTAGGTTAAGGGAGTATCCCTGGGGAAAGATTTCTTGAAAAGGCCTTCCAACACCACTTAATGAAACTAGTAAGTATTCATGATTTGATGTTAACTAAAAGGTAAAGATATTAACAATGATTGGTTAATGCAGTACAAATGAAAATGACATGCCAAAGATTACATACAGGTTTTCCTATGTTAAATATCCCAAAGCCTGGTATGGTAGCTCATACCTGTCATCCCAGCACTTGGGAGGCAGAGGCAAGAGGATGGCCTTTGGTTGGAGACAAGTTAGGGCTACAAAGCTTTGAAAATAAACCTGACTTTTTTTATAGTTATAGTGTGGCCATGTAAGAAAATGCACTTATTCTTAGGAAAGAGATGTCTGAAGCACTGAAGGGATGACTACAAGGACATTACTTCTCATCAGTTAGGAAGAAGTGCGTGTGCTATAACACAGGTGGCAAACGCTAGCACCTAGGCAAACTGAGTAAGTGGTGGGTAGAAGCTCTTGCCATTCTTTTCAATACAAACAAATATCAGAAGGAGAATAAGTGTAAAAACTACAAATAAATACATCATAACAAAATCCTGAATTATATAATAGTGGGGGGGACATGACATAAATATAGATCGTAGACACCGGAGAAAAGGTTGCAAAATCTATTTAAATCTAAAAATTGTATTCAGGCTTATTTCTTGGGTTCTTTGTTGTCGTCACGGTTCCTCTTTTTAGACAAGTTCCCATGTAGCCCAGGTAACCTTAACCTCACTGTGTCCCTGAGGATGACCTTGAATTTCTAATCTTCCTGACTCCACTTTCCCAAATGCTGGGACTACAGGCATATGCCACCTGACCTGGTTTATGCAATGCTGAGGATCAAACTCAGGGCTTCATACATTCCATGTATGTAGGCAAGCCTTCAGCCAACTAAGCTACAACCCACCCCATTTTCTGGGTGTTCTTTTTGTTTTTTACTATGTAGCTCAGGCTGGCCTGAAGCTGTGGCAATTCTTCCCAAGAGCAGGGATAACTGAGATGTCCCAACACACCATATTTTCTTGTTTTACAGTAAATTCTCTTCAAGTGTGTCTTCTGTCTGGACTTAGAGGGAAAGGGATTAAAATGAGGAATAGTCTTACATGTTTCCCTTCGCAGATCCCTGGGAGACTGCCCCAGCTACTCAAGGCCATCAGAGTGGGTAGACACATGCAGACTGTCAAGCTGCCCTGGGGTTCCCATTCTGGGACTCACCTGAGCTGGAGTAGTGGTACAGCTCTGTGTAGGGTTCAATGTGCACTTTAGAACCGTAGGGGATCTGCGGCACTCGGCCATCCAGTTCTGTGTTGATGGTCAGGTGTCCATGTTCATCAATACCACTGAACTGCTGCTTCAGGACCAGCTTGCCTGGGTGCCCCAAGAAGGTCACCTCGGCTTGTCGGGTGAACTCACCCCCTGGAAAGCAAGACAGGCCCACCTGTCACTCTGTCACCTGGCAAGTATACCCTCCCACTGGTTTTAGGTTCATGAAGTGAGAGTCAGGAAGAGAACTCTTCTACTCTGGCTGGTTGAACTAAGCCAGACTCAGGACTACAAATATCATGTGGTATCTCTCCTATACAGAATCTAGATTTAAATTTACATGTTCACTATTATATAACTAAGTATATTATATGTTTGTAGACCATGAAAGTGGAAAGGAGAGTATGAGAAGGTAAGACAGGATCTAAAGGGAAGAGAGAGGGGAATAAGAGAGGGAAGAGGGACATGTGACATGAAACAGATGGGAGTAATTGGGGGAAGAAGAGCAGAGGGAGAAGGCAGGCTTAGGGAGAAGGAGGCAGTGTTAATGTACCCAGCCCAGGATATTGGGTGTAGGTCCTGGAAATGATGATGGACTCTGTACCGGCCAGTTTCATGTCAACTTGACACAAGCTGGAGAGGAGGGAACCTCAGCTGAGAAAATGCTTCAATAAAATCAGGCTTTAGGCAGACCTGAAGGGTATTTTCTTAATTAGTGGTTGATGTGGGAGCCCTCCCCGCCCCCCATCCCCCCTGCCCCTTGTGGGTGATGATACCTGTGGTGGTTTGAAAAAGAACAGCCCCCAGACTCATGTGTTTGAATGCTTGGCCCATAGGAAGTGGCACTATTAGGAGATGTGGCCTTGTTGGAGTATGTGTGGCCTTGCTGGAGGAAGTGTGTCACTGTGGAGGTGGGCTTAGAAGCCTCAGATGCTCAAGCCCAGGTTCAGTGGTTCACAGTTCACTCCTGGTGACTGCTGATCTAGATGCAGAACTCAAACTACCTCTCCAGCACTAAATCTGCCTGCACACCACCATGCTTCCTTCCATGACCATAATGGACGAAACCTCTGAGCCGTAAACCAGCTCCAATTAGGTGTTTTCCTTTATAAGAGTTGCCATGATCATGGTGTCTCTTCACAACAATAGAAACCCAAACTAAGACACCACCCCTGGGCAGGTGGTCCTGGGTTCTATTTTAAAAAAAAAAAAAAAAAAAAAAAAAAAAGGCAGGCTAAGCAAACAGTGAGAGCAAGCCAGTAAGCAGCACATCTCCATGGCCTCTACATCAGCTCCTGCCTCCAGGTTTCTACCATGTGTCCTGACTTCCTTTGGTGATGTGCAGTGCTGTGGAAGAACATAATAAACCCTTTCCTCCTCAACTTGTTTCGGTCATGGTGTTTCATGATAGCAACAGAAACCCTAACTAGACAGACTTAGACTCCTCTACCCTGGGCTCCATTCAGCATCTACAGGGAGCTGACCTTGGCAGAACATGGGAGGAGACACTGTGACAACAAGGAAGGATCCCCTCAGTGACCTGCCACACACCCATAAAAGACTGCCTTCCTTACAGAGAGGGCATGGCCTCTGAGAAGCTCCAAAGTTCCCAACACTCAAGAGAATGGTGTTGATCATGTTGGACTGACCACCCAGAAGTGTCAGGTTCTTTGCACTGAGCAGATATGGAGATATGAAATGCCATTTCCGGAAGGATGAGATGCATGAGCTGATAACTCTTGTTCAGTCTTGGAGACTTTTCTACGTCTGTGTGCCCGTCTGTGCAAGATTGTGTATGTAAGGGTATATCTGTATGTGTAGGCTTGTGGGCATGATTGTATGTGTGCACGTAAACTTTTGTACACAGGTGTACACAGGTGAAGGGGTGTGTGCATGTTTGTGGGTGTGGGATATGTATGGTGGCCAGAGGTAAGCCTTGGGTGGGGTGTTTTTCCTCAAAAGTTGTCTGTGTTTTTAGAGACACAGTCTCTCACTGTGAACTGGGGCTCACCAATTAGGCTGGCTGGCCAATGAGCCCCAGGGATCTGGTCTCTGTCTGCCTAGCGTTGGTATTATAAGCACATGGCACCACACCTGGCTGTGAATGTGCTATACACAAATCTGCCCTTGTCCTTATTTCTGAGAAGAACTAGAGGAGCCTCTGTCCACTGATAAAATACCTCTAGAAGGTGTCTGAAGACACAGAGCTCCAAACCTATTCATTCTCTGACCTCCCCCATGACTGTGTAGCCCATTCAGTTTAATTGAGGGATTAATTACCAGTGATGCTAAACCCATTCTTGAACCCATTCTGCTCCACTGCAAACATCCATCCGATGATGCCTCCAATGGGTGCCAGGGGAAGCAGAGAATACCCAACGGTTTCGGGAATGGTGCTGATGGCTGTGTAAGAGCGTCCATGGTTCATCACCACATAGGAGTGCAGGTCAGTGTTCTCAAACACCACGGGGATCTGGCTGTTCCCCACGAAGATCCTTCCCTTCACCTTGCCGTTGACCCGCTGTGGGGAGCCTGGGCCAGAAACAAAGGGAGAAGGTGAAGATGGCTCTCTCCTACCTTCCAAAGACAAGAATGTATCTATTCATTAGGAATGCAAAGAGGTGAAACTGCTGTGGGAAATAGCTTTTGGGGAAATAAAAATACTTGTTCCTGTGATTGTGTGCCACAAGCCCTGGATATCCCAAGGCTCCTGCTACATGTGGTGCTAATGGACAGAATGCAAGGTACCTAAGCTGTACCAGGGGTCTCCCCTTTCTCTCACAGGACTGATAATGGACATCCATAAGTCTGTATCACAGGCATTACGAGTCCCAGCACTGCACAGGCATAAGGATCTGAGTCCAGACCCCAGCACCCATATAAAAAGCCTGTTATGGCAATGTATGCTTGTAACCTCAGAACTAGGATACAGAGGAAGGATGAGAGGATCCCTGGAACTTCCTGGTCAGCTGGACAAGTCAGCTGGTGTCCTTGAGGTTCATTGAGAAACCCTATCTCAAAAAAGAGCAGTAGAGACCACCTGATGCCAACCTCCAGCCTCCACATTTGTGCACATACTAACACCAAATATACATCACATACATACGCACACACATGTGCGTGTGCATGTGCGAGCGCACGCGCACACACAGAGAGGCATGTGAATCATACTGCAAAATAAGAACAGAAACTGAAGGAAGATGCAACTAAAAGGCCGCCTTTCATTGCTGAAGTTAGATAAGAACTAGATTCTTTAAAGGTTTTCCCTTCTTCTTTTGGCACAAGAGACAGAAAGAGGGCTTTGCCCCTGAACTCCACCCCTGGGCCTCTATCAACCACCAATGATGTAGCTTACTTATTGTGAATGATCAGGAATACTGTCTCCACTGCTTCTCCTATGGACATGCTCCTGGGGGTCATCTATGCTCTCTGGAGAGCTGGTAAACAAGGTCACTGACCAGTCAGGACATATCTGACACAAAGTTAACTCTACACACCCACTGTGTCATTACACTGGGGAATGCTGTGACCCCTGCAGGCTAATGATAAAAAAAATACACTCCAAGCACATTACTGAAACAAGGAAGGAAGCCAAATTAAGGAAGCCAAACCAAGTGCTTCTACTAGACTCCAAGTTAGCTTTTTTTCCCCTTGTTTTTTGAGTTGGGGGTCTCTCTCACTCTGTAGCTCTAGCTGGCCTGGAACTCATCCTGTAGCCTGGGCTAGCCTCAAAATTACAACACTCTCCCTGCACAAGTTTCCTGAGTGTTAGGACTATAGGTATAAGCTACCACACCTGTTTAAATAATATACTTTTTTTTTTTTTAAGTAGCAAGAATCCAATAGATATTTAAACCACAAAGCAATACAGGGTGTGCACAAAATATCAAAATGTGTGGTGGAACAGTTTGTCATACCTGAGCTCAATGCCAAAATTTGCTCAGCAATTTTAGCTCTGATATTGGGGAGAGGGAGCTAATGAGGTGACTCTTTAAGAATTCACATTTGGACTGAGGGGACGGACAGTCCAATCGGTAGAGGATTTGCTTGGGAAGCACAAGGACCTGGGCTCAATACCCATCACCCAGAGATTTGGAAAGGAAGGAAAAAAGGGAGGGAGAGGGAGAGGAATGGAGGGGGAGATGGAGGAAGGAAAGAAATATACTTCATATGGGTTTTGGGAACTTCTCCTAGGGTGAAAAGGTATAAAAGCCAAGCTAGAACAAATACTCAAAAGCACCCCACCCTTGGGGTGACAGGATTTGAAAGAAAACAGAAAACACTTTAAAATTTAAGACATTCTCCCTAATTAATATGACAACTAAACTGCTTGTTGGTTTACTGCTAATAGATGAAAATAAAACAAATACCACTTTACTTAATTATGACCCAGAAGGAAACAATTTTTGTCTGTGTGGCAAATTAAAACAACAGACTTCAGGATAGCTATGACAAGGAATCTGGAAAACAGCTCACATCTCTCCAATTATATTTTAATTATCAAGATTTTACAAAGCGACTCAAATTGCCTATTAAGTACATGTGAACGTAGGCTGTGGTGAGGCATTTGGTGGCATCTGAAGGGACAAAAGCCAAATATAGTAAGGTCTTGTCATTTTATTTTCATTCTAATTTATAGCCCCAAAAGAAATGGCTGTAATAAGAACCCTTAGACTTACATGGGAGACTCCTCTGACTATGTGGGGCAGAAGGACTAGCCAGTCCCCTTTGGGGACAGGGGTAATAGTGACCTCAGCTATAATGGAATTCACTTTGGGGCTGGATGTGCACTGAGTTTGACAAGCTAGAACTAAAGACAACAACCTCAGCCTCACCTCAGTGTTATGCTGGTGTTATGCTGGTGTTGCAAGGGGTGGAGAGAGAGAGAGAAAGAGAGAGAGAGCTACAAGCAATGCACTCAGAGCCAGAGCTCAAGCCAAGTTGGGAAGCACACTGCAGGCCCAGCCCTCTACATATGGAGAACCTCAAGTCTGAGGTCAGCCCAGGCTGCACAACAAGATGCGGTCTCAAAAGCAAAGAAATAAAGAACTGAGACGACTCCAAAGACAAAGTTATAACTGAAGGAAAACAAGGGAGAACGACTTGGAAACATGGTCCTGGCTGCATCTTTGTAATGCTTGGGTCTTTCTGTTGCAGTCAGTCAGGGGACGGCTGTGGAAAGAGGCTCCTTCCTGGTGATTGTCACCTCAGAAATGGAGGAGGAGTACAAGGGAACAAGATAATGTGCCATATATCAGAAAAAAAAAATGGACATCCTGGAAGGAATGCCCATTAGAGAATGTAACAGAGATGATATTATTAAAAACTGTATGTTCCAGAGATCAGAGTAAGGACCATGTCTATAAACAAGTACCAAGACCCAAAAGGTACTCCTTTTCCTTTTCCCCAGAGCTGAAAATGCAGAGGAAAAGTACATTACCTTCTGCTACACACTGCCTGCCGTTGCCGGTGTAGTTGGCCACGCACCTGCAGCAGAAGCCAGTAGCATAGTCTCTGCACTCTGCATGCACGGAGCACTGGTGTCTATTGTTGGCACACGTCTGCTGGGAACCTGTGTTGTAGCTGAATACTGTTCAGAGAAAACAGAAGCATACCTGTGAAAGTTCTGTAGGTTTTCAACTGGGAGGCATTTCCACACAGGTGCCTGTGAGCCAACAGGACTCACATCTACCTAAGACATTCAAGGAGCCAAGCTGACCATAGCAATCCAAAGTCAATGGCATGAGTGTGGCCATTGGATAGAGTTGGGGCTCCATTACTCAGACCACTGATATAAACAAGTCTTCAAGAAGCTGAAAAAATCATTAAATATGAATGCTTTAAAAACTGCCACAATGCAGTATATTAGTGTCAATTAACTCGAGGGTACTCTCGCTCAATATCAATCTTAGGATGGTGCCCATCTAACATGGTCAGAGGAACAGCTTCATTTGCTTAGGGCCTCAGAAGATACTTTTACTTCAACCCCAGTTTTTCTGTTTTTGAGACAGGGTCCCATGTATCCCAGGTTGCCCACAACTCACTAAGACCTGAGAGTGACCTTGAACTCCTGATCCACCCTCCTACATTCACCTCCTGAATACAGGGATCACAGGCATGTACCACTGCACCTGGTTACGCCTGGTTTATGGAGAGCTAGGGAACAGAGCTCAGGGTTTCACACATGCTAGAAAAACACACTGCCAACAGAGCTATACTCCAGCCTAAATAGCCTTTCTTTTTATAAATAAGTCCTTGTGTGATAAAGCACCTATCATAAAAATGGCATTATAACCATCTTTACATATACCTGTGTATATGGGTGTGGGTATGAATGTATTCCTACCCTTCTCCTCAGAGGTTAAGTCAAAAGCTCTGATACAAATTTGATCATTATAGGGCTGGAGAGATGGCTCAGTAGTTAAGTGCACTGGCTACTCTTCCAGAGGTCCTAAGTTCAATTCCCAGCAACCAATTAGTGGTTCACAACCATCTGTAATGAGATCTGGTGCCCTCTTCTGGCCTGCAGGCTCACATGCAGACAGAACACTATATAAATAAATATATATAAATAAATCTTCAAAGTTGATCATTATAGTGTGTGTGTGTGTGTGTGTGTGTGTGTGTAATAACAAAGAAAACAAGGGCATGAATTTGAAAAGGCCTAGTGGTGGTTTGGAGGGAGGAAAGAAAAGTAATATATAATTATTTTATAATCACAATAAAAATAAAAAACAGCCAATCGAAAACAATCCATTGATTACACCTCTTTTTAAGATCCTTGAACCCAAAAATCAAAAAAGAATCTCTAGTTTAAATATCCAGCACCCAAGTTTGTTTTACTAGAACTGCAAACCAGCCCATTAAATTTAATGATCTAACTAGAGCAAATCTGTTTGGAATAAAGTTCAAAATCCCAAGAGGAGTGAACTCCTACAGGTAATAATAATGATCTTGTTTATAACTGACTTTATGAGTAAAGCTCAAAATAACATTTATCCTCAGGTAGATTATATTGGCTCCAACTACTTGGGATTTCCAGTGTGTATAAAGATGGCTGGTAATCAAAGCCAAGGATACCTGAGTGAACTTGAAAATTTTCTAATTGCGTTCCGTAAGTTCAAGCCAGCAATCCCCCATTGGTGGGTCTGCTATGTTCTTCTGTGTATATGAAGGCAACTATTTAAACAACACCATAATGTTTTTGTAGCCTCAGACAGTTGATATTTCTAATAAACACAGTGAAATAACTGGGGAAAGGAACCTAAAAGACGACATCTGTCACAGATACATTTTGAGTTCAAGTCTAGGCTTTTGTTACCATTTATTGTTGAGGAGTAAATAAATATGACAATTTCATAAATGATAATTTCGGATACTTATGAAAAAAGATGAACCTCAAAACTTAACTTCTATAAGCAACATACTCTAGCAGAGTCAAAAGTTCTGCTGGCCAGAGGTGAGGGCACCCCTTCCCCTAATCAAAATCCAGAAAACAATGCCCATGAGGTGAACGGCTGGAACTCGTGAATTCATTTTTCCACCAAATGGCATCTTGTTCACTTCTAGGCCTCAGTAGCGATCACCCAGCCTCATAAATGCCCCAATGCCTTTTGGGGTATTCAATATGGACAGACAGTAATAACCACTGCCATGATGTACATCAGAGCAAAAATAGAGAAACAAAAATGAGTTAGTAGGTGGAATGGACTGTTTCCAAGAAGGTTTTTGTGTTTTGTTTTTGTTTGTTTTTTAAAATTCCATGTGCATTGGTGTTTTGCCTGCACGTATGTCTGTGTGAGGGTATCAGGTCCTCTGCAACTAGAGTTACAGACAGCTGTGAGTTGCCATGTGAGTGCTGGGAACTGAACCCAGGTCCTCTGGAAGAGCAGTCAGTGATCTTAACTGCTGAGCCACCTCTCCAGTCTGTCCAAGAAGTTGTATAAGAACCTCTTAATAGAAAGAGTAAAGTATCCTATGAGATACATGTAACGATTTTAACTCTTCCTTTTATTTGGGTCTTGGTGGGGTTGGAGAGATGGCTCAGTGGTTAAGAACACTTGCAGCTATTTAAGGACCCAGGTTTGATTCCTAACACCTGACTGGTAGCTCACAACCACCTGTAATTCTAATTCTAGGGGATCTGATGACCACTTTTGGATTCTATGGGCATCGGGAAATCACATGGTGCACATGCACTCATGCAGGTAAAAGACGCATTCACAGAAAATAAGAATAAATAGATTTTCTTAAAATGAATCTCAGTGGGTATCCTAGTTTTTTTCTTGTTGCCATGATTTTTAAAAAAAAAAATCTGACAAAGGGAAAGAATAGAGGAGAACAAGGAAAGAGATACCATAATAAAGGGAGCCATTATAGGCTTTAAGAGAAATCTGGCACTAGGAAAATGTCCAGGGATCTACAAGGATGACCCCAACTAACAATCTAAGCAATAGTGGAGAAGCTACCTTAAATGCCCTTCCCTGATAATGAGATTGATGACTATCTTATATGACATCCTAGAGCCTTCGTCAAGTAGCTGATGGAAGCAGAGGCAGACACCCACAACTAAATACTGAGCTGAACCCCTGTAATCCAGTTGCAGAAAAGGAGGAGTGATAAGCAAAGAGGACAAGACTGGAGAGACCCATAGAATCAGCTGACCTGAACAAGGGGGAATTCATATACCCCAGTCTGATAGCTGGGAAACCAGCATAGGACCGACCCAGACCCCCTCAATGTGGTGTTAGTTAGGAGGACTGGGCAGTCTATGGGGCCTCTGGTAGTGGATCAGTGTTTATCCCTAGTATACGAATGGACTTTGGGAGCCCATTCCACATAGAGGGATACTCTCTCAGCCTAGACACATGGGGGAGGGCCTAGGCCCTGCTCCAAATGATGTGACAGTCTTTGAAGACTCCCCATGGAAGGCCTCACCCTCTCTGGAGAGCAGAAAAGGGATGGGATGGGGGTTGGTGGGGGGAACAGGAGGATGAAAGGGTGCAGGAACTGGGATTGACATGTAAAACAAGCTTGTTTCAAATTTAAATTAAAAAACAAAAAGCAACTTAGGAGAGAAGGAGGTTTATCTGGCTTACACACACCATTGTGCAAGGCAGGGACATGAAACAGCCAATCACATCACAGCCTCAACCAAGAGCAGAGAGGAATAAATGAATCTGTGGCTACTGCTCAGCTAGCTTTCTCTATTCTTCTACAAGGGTGCTCTTTACTCTCAGGCTGGGTTTTCCACATCGATCAAGGTAGTCAAGACAATCCACTACACATACACTCACAGGTCAACCTGATGGTGACATCCTTCACTGATACTCTCTTTCAGGGTGATTCTAGGTTGTATGGAGTTGATAATTAAAACCAGCCATTATGTCAGTCTCAAGAAAAAAGAGCATATTTTAAGAATGTCTCATAATACTTAAAGGATGCTCAAGTAATCTTCCTCAAAATATAGGAAACACTTAGACTATATTGTATTATGCTGTGCATGTGTGATGACTCACACCTTTAATCCCAGCATTCAGAAGGCAGATCTTCTGGGTTTGAGGCCAAGGCTACAGAGAGAAACCAAAACCCAGAAAAAAGAGGATGGAGTGGGAGAAGGAAGAAGGAAGGAAGATGAGAAGGAGAAGGAGGAGGAGAAAGAGAAGCAGATACCACATTATATAAAACTACCTTTTAAGGGGATCTGGGGTGTGTGTGTCTGTGTGTGTGTGTCTGTCTGTGTGTGTGTGTCTCTGTGTGTCTGTGTGTGTGTCTGTATGTGTGTGTCTGTGTGTGTGTCTGTGTGTGTGTGTCTGTGTGTGTGTGTCTGTATGTGTGTGTGTCTGTGTGTGTGTGTGTGTGTGTGTGTGTGTGTCTGTGTGTGTCTGTGTATGTGTATGTGTATGTGTGTTCTTTAGAAAGCAACTCTGCAACTGACAGGAGGAAAAACAATCAGCTGTTTGAATTCCAAAACCAAGACGAAAAAATGTGGGAGAAGAACTGCATAAGGAGCCAAAGGAACTTCTAGAATGTTTTTTCAGGTGGGTTAATATCTCAGAAATCATAAATAAGAAACTTGAGTTTCAAAATAGTCTAAAGTCTCTATCTCCTTCTCTTTTAGTTTTTGACACAGGATCTTACTGTATCTCAGGCTGGCCTGGAACTCATTCTGTAGCTAGAAATATTGGTTCCCCTGTCTCAGCCTCTACAATGCTGGGTAAACAGCACCTAACTATGACATTTTAAAAGGAAAAGTTATTAGCCAGATTATGGTAGTGCATGACTTTAATCCCAGCACCCAGGAAGCAGAGGCAGCAGAGTCTTCATGAGTCCGAGGCCAGCCTGGTCTACATGAAGTAACAGATCATCCAAAGTGACATAAATGAGAATCTGTCTTGTAAAAGTAATAATAATAATAGTAATAATACATTTATTTATTTAATTAATTGCGTGTATGCAGATAAACATGTGTGTGGCAGTCAGAGGACAGTATGGGGAAATCATTCCTCTTCTTCTACTATGTGGATTCCTGGAAATGAAACTTAGGACATCAGGACCTTTACATCTACTGAGGTCATCTCTCTCAGGCACCAATCCTCTTTGAAACAGAATACATTATGGGGAATCTTCAAATGCAGCATAACCCTACTGTGTCTAGAAACAAGGCTCTAATCCTAAAGAATCACTGGGTCACTCAGAAGCCACTGGGCCTATGTAGCAACTGATTTTCAGTGTGAGCATAGAGTTTCTGCTCCCTCAGGCCATCTGTTCCACACAAAGCCACTTCATCGACACATGACCCACCCTACATTAGCCAACTCCTGTCTAGAAACCCAAGTAGGCAAGAAAGGTTCTAAACTGTAAAACAGATGTCTTACCAATTCCTGTTTCTTCTACTTCATCCACATCAATGACCTGAGAGTGCTGTTGCGGGAACCTCTCTACTGGCAATTGGAAGGTTCTGATTCTCTCAGTGGGGATTCCATGGGGACTTTCTGTAGCCTCATAGCTAGGAGAGAGGACCCTGGGTGCATTGTGTGGGTTAGTGTTTCCCCTTCTTGGACTATGGGTGGGAAAGGTTGGGGTGGCCATATCCTCCAGGCCCAGGTGAGAGGTTGCCAGGTCATACTCTTCATCCTCATAGTCTGCTCCATCGTCATCCAGGTCTAGGTTCACATCTGCAGGCACCACACCCTTGGCAGTAGCAGCACTCCCAATCTCAAACACCCACACCCCCTGGTGTCCAGCATTGCTGCTCCTAAAGACAAGGAAGACATCTTGAGAACAGGCCACAACCGACAAGTAGCCCCCGTTGACCAAACAGACAGGAAGTGCTCGGGTAACCTGTATCCATCTGAAACCCATTCATGTGTCTACCCTCAGCAAAAGCTGGTGTCCCAGAGGGCAGTATCTGCCATTTGCAGTCATCACAGAGCTCAAACAGGCAGGGACTATTTAGTGAGACTGAGTCTAAATAGACACAACACCATGAAGAGCTTACCTTCTAGTGACATCCTAGGACAACAAGGACTCTCAATGTCATCAGTTCATACTATTCACCATTTATGTGCCCCATCTCATGAACTAAGGTGAATAGAAATTCATTCCCCACTATTGTCTTTTCATTGTATGGAGTAAAATATACTTGTTTATGTTTGGTTGGGTAGTTGGGTTTTTGTTTTGTTTTTTGAGTTAGGGTTTCTCTTTATATCCCTGGCTGTCCTGGAACTCAGTCTATAGACCAGGCTAGCCTCAAACTCAGAGATCTACCTGCTCTGCCTCCTGAGTGCTTGGATCAAAGGAACATGCCACCACAACCAGTTAATGTATTTGTATATACATAAAAAAATACAGTTGGTTGGTACATGACTCTAGAGCTCTTTTGACCCCTAGAATTTCCAATATAATAAAACTGACCTTTCTGCCCAGTGGTGGTGATGCATGTCTTTAATCGTAGTGCTCAGGAGGCAGAGGCAGATGGATCTCTATGAGTTTGAGGCCAGACTGACCTACACAATGAGTTCTGGGACAGTGGTGGCTACATAGAGAAACCCTGTCTCAAAAAACAAAAAGGAAACAAAGCAAAAGTGACCTTTTTATGCTAATGAGATGACCAGTGCCTGAGTCTCTTGGCCAAAAGACCAAGAAGTTCTGCCCCTTCCAAGCCCTGCTCCATTCCTATCTACAGAGAGGAGGGCACTGAGCTTCTAATGCAGTCCATCACCTAAGGTCAATGAGGTCAAAGGCCACACATTATGCAACTTCAATATAAACTTTAAATGTCAGGATTTGGAGGTCCCAGAGTAGCCAAAAGAGAGCATCAGATCCCCTGAAGCTGGAGTTACAGGTGGCTGTGAGCTACTGGATGAGGATGCTGGTAACTGAACTAAGGTCTTCTGAAAGAGCAACAGGTAATTGCTGAGTTATCTGTCCAGCCTTCTGAAGTGATTATAACAATCCGGGGATAGTAATACTGGGGGCTTTTCTGAGCTCAGTAAGCTGTTCTAGTAAATTACTGATCCTGAGAATAGATAGGGTCATGAAAATTGATTTATAGTGATGTGGTCAGAAGCACAGGCACAACTGTAGGGTGTGGGCATTGGTAGCTGAGGTGGGGGCATCTTGTGGGGCTAGATGGTGTAGCTGTGGGGTCTGCATTGATTCCAGGCAGCTAGTTAGTGCCAGACCTATCTACTAAACTATAGGACACTTAGCCAGTATCCAGAGAATTGAGAATTGGTTGGTGTGAGGGGAAATCTGCATGGGCTGATCAACAGGACTGTTCATGAAGACAGTGCCACAGTTCAAAAAGCAAATGAGATTCAAAACCCTGAAGCATTAAATATGCTAAACACAGCAAAGTGACCCTAACCTCTAATTTTTGATCCAACATTTTTTTGTTGTTCTTGATTTCAAGATAGGGTTTCTCTGTTTACTAGTACTGGCTGTCTTGAAATTTGCTTTGTAGATTAGACTGGCCTTGAGCTCACAGAGATCTGCCTGTCTCTGCCTTCTGAGTGCTGGGATTAAAGGTATAGGCCACAACCTGACTTGATGTAGCATTTTAATAACTCTTGTGTACTTGTGACCAGAAGTATTCTTTCAGAAATTATGTAGGACATTTGGGGAGAGCCAGCTGTTAAATTTTGGGGAATTTTCCCAAACCAGTTATGAAACACTGTCACTGTAAGAAAATTAAATTAAGAGATAGGGGTATATGCTTACCTAACAGACAGGTACAAGGCCCTAGATTCAATCCTCAGAACTGAAATATACACATACACACATACCCCACAACACAGTCTAAAGTGTATGTTTTTAAAGGTAAGAAGTACTATTCCAGATGGCGGTGGGGCATGCCTTCAATCACAGCATTTGAGAAGTAGAGGCAGCCTAAACCTGGGGCGGGGAAAGGGCAAAACAAAAACACTAATCTTGGCTCTTCCTCTCTTTTGTCAAATCTATAACAGCTTTACAGGGAGGCTTCATTGAGTATGAGTGTGGTAAGGAACTGTTCCTGAATCAAGTGTGGTGGGAAATCACTCTTACTTTAGGTTCCTAGCAGAAGACAGCTTTGACTTGCCTTCATTTCTGACTTCAGACTCACAGGGGACATGGTAGACAATTTTTCATGAGGGTGCACTTGAAACAACAAACTATTGGGGCTAGAGAGATGGCTCAGAATTTAAGAGCATTAGTTACTCCTCCAGAGGGTCTGGGTTTGATTCCCAGCATCCATGTGGTGGTTCTAATACCCTCTTCTAATTTCCACAGGCACTGCACATAGACATATGATACAAAACATTCATATGCATAAATAAAAATAAAAACCAACAAAATATCTCTTTGTGCTGAATATATTCCCTAAAGTTCATCAGGAAAAAATACTATTTCATCATTTAAATATCTCTATATAAAATTTAAATCTACAAGAACATTCTTAGGTAACATAATACCTGTAATATTCTGTTCAGTAAAAACAATATACAATAATATTATAAAAATAGTATTTCCTAATGAAGAAAATAAGTAAAGAATATGCATACTTGGCCAAATTTTCAATGGATTCCCTGTCATTGGCAAATATGTTATAGGCTCCGTCACTCCTCCATAGAAATCCCACTAAGCCTTGGCTGAAGCCAACTATGGCGGGCACTTGGTTTTCATCCTTCTTCGAGAATGTTGTAAAGAACTGTAGACCATCTTCAGGATAAAGGAAAATGGCATAGGAGCTGGAATTTGAGGAAGCCAGAACAGCCTGGAACGTGTTTCTCTGTGAAGATGAGTTAAAAGTCAGTTACTGAAGAATACAATCACACTCTCAATGGACACTGTTCCTGGGCTTCTATTCTAGTAGAAAGGCAGTGGTACTCCTCCTCATTCCCCTGCAATTGGGAATATATAGTCTAAATGGAGAGGTGGATATATGGACAAAACACAGCCTAGTCCAAGGACAGATATTGTAACAGAGGTGCATACTACATGTAGGTCAAATGAGGATGTATCCATTCTGGGTAGAGTGGAGGTATGGGAGGCTCTTGCTGGTCACAGGAAGGTGTGAGCATACACACAGGAGATCATCTCAAGGATAAACGACAGTGTGCACAAGATATTGTGAGTTAAAAACATACCAGAACGAAAGAAAAAGCAGGCTCAAGGCAAATATAAGTGTTTGGTACAACTGCTGGAGGGGTTTCATGAGGTTTTAATGGGTTAGACCCAAGAAGCAGGCAAGAGCTCAGTGTTCTTGTGCCAGGCGATCTTCCAGTTTTGCAAAGCCTTATATGATATGTAGACTCATCCCAGACAGCTCCAAAGAGTGTTCTGTGGGATGCTATGTGTCCTACTGGGGGGCAGTGATAAGAGGAGGTATGACCAAAAATTTGGGGGATTGTTCCAAATCAATAAGAATTATTATGGCAGCTTCTTTACTATCGGGTTTTCTTTACTCGGCTGAGGAGTACTTTGATATCAGAGCCTGGCATTTCCTATTAACAACTTATCTATATAATAGAAGCCATCTTCCCATTATTTCTCAATTAAAGAAGAAACACACAGGGAATACCATGAAGCAATCCCCTCAAATAACTGGCTTTCTTGACATCATATACTCACACAAAAAGATTTAGACAGCCCTATAAGTATCTGGAAGGTACTGACCTGCAATAAACAACTTACTGTATTTTTCTCTAGACTTCCTGTTTCGAGGAAAATCATAGGCATAATGTCCATTGGAACAAGCACAAACCAGAAATCCAAAGACACCAAAAGTTCACACACCAGATACCTACATCTTCATCTGGGGTGCACTCACCTTGCCTTCCTGGGCAGGGCTCCCACTGGGCCCTCCATAGGGGGCCATGGACTCCCAAGTGACAACCACCACACTAGTGGGCTGGAAAGGAACCTCCGGGAAGCCTCTCTGGACATACTCCGCTGCCATCTGAATGATGGAAGGGGATAAGTCTTCTCGATAATACACATTCCCCAGACCATCTGTTGTGTCCAAGTCAGCCAGGAAAGGTGCCACTGAGCCGAAGCTGGGTGGGAAGGTTCCAGGATGTGATTCTCTGGCTGGAGGTTCACTCATAGCAATAATGCCATTTGTGGTGACCTGTAGGGAACCAAGTGTAGTTAGAGGGAATGCAGAGATAACTCCTCAAGGGTAATGTTAGGGTTTGATTTTAGAACAATTTCCAGCTGGTGGTCCTATTTTTAGAGATTGTGGAATGATGAGTAATGGAGCGTGGTTGACGGAAGTAGAGCGCTAGGAACAGGTCTTTGCTCCTAGCTCCGCCTTATTCTCTGTGCCCTCGTCAGCCACAATGTGAACAGCCTCTGCTACATGCTCCCATCACACAGACTGAGCAGCTTCACCAGGGCTCCACAGGACTTTCTCTGCCATGATGGAATAAAAGCCCCCTAGAACCATGAACCAAGCTAAGCCTTTCCTCCCTTAGTTGTTGCTATCAAGTACAGTGGTCAGGGCAGACACACAGGAAACTGATACAGGAAGTGACCACTCCCTCGGGCCTCTGTTGCAGTTGCCTATCGTACACATAATAAACAGAATGGGAGAAGAAGATGAGCCCATCTGGCAAGACCAGTATTTGCCTTCTAGATTTGATAAGCTGGCAGAGGGAATGTCAAACAGGAATCGTAGGACATGCATGCAGGGTGCCTGTTGTCATGGTATATGGGCAGGTGTCTCAAACTTTTCAAGTTTCCCCTCTGTGTCCTAACCAAAATGATGTGACAGTGCTTTGTTGACTGCAAGCATTATCCAAATGACTAACTCCATAAAGGCAATAAGCCTTCCACACAAGGATTGTGTTATACCACTATGGGTACAGAATGGGTTGGATACAGCCCTACCTTCAAGGAAACAGGGGAAGGGTAATACAAATGATAATAAAATGAATGTATTAAGTAAATCTACATGGGTTATCATAGTGTCACTAACCAGTATGACTAGCTTAGCATTTAGAATACCAGCTAATGGGTATTAACAGTTCACCACACTGCAGGCAGCATCTAATCCTGGGGGAAACACTAGAAGGCTAGGTGTTGTGGGATAATCTCTGTGTACACTGTAAAGATGTGTCACTCTGGTTGGTTTAATAAAAAGCCGAATGGCCAATAGCCAGGCAGGATTTCTGGGCAGGGAAGACACTGGGAAGAAGAAAGATGCCAGGAGACACAGAGGAAGCAGCATGAGCAATACAGAGTAAAGGTAAGCACATCATATAAAAGAATACAGATTAAAAGATATGGGTTGATTTACATTAAGAGCTAGTTAGAAACAAGCCAAAGCTTTCAACTGAGCTTTAATAATTAATAATAAGTCTCTGTGTCATTATTGGGGGGTCAAAGGTCCCAACAAATAAGTCCAGCTAGGTGTCGCTGATACCCATATTTTTCTAGTGGGAAAATTAAGTAATTAACTTGTCCAAAGTCACCATATATAATTGACATCGCTGGAATTCTAACCCAAACATCTTGACTCCAAGGTCAGCCATCTCAGGACTTTAGATGTAGTTGTAAGAATTCCTGCTTGACTGCACAAGACCTTGGGTTCAATTGCCAGAAATATATAAACCAGCCAATATGCCTGTAGGCCTTGAGTTCAATTGCCAGAAATATATAACCTGGTTATGGTGGTATATGCCTGTAATCACAGCACTGGGAAGGTGGCAGCTGGAAGATTTCAAGGTCATTCTTTGCTACATAGTGAGTTCAAGGCTAGCCTAGGGGCTGGAGGGATGGCTCAGTGGTTAAAAGCATTGGCTATTCTTCCAGAGGTCCTGAGTTCAATTCCCAGCACCCACATGGTGGCTCACAGCCATTTGTAGTGGGTTTTGACATCATCTTCTATCATAAAGGCATACATTCAGATAGAGCACTTATATACATAGAATATAATAAATAAAACCTTAAAAAAAAAGGCTAGCCTAATTGTCATATATATAGCAATCTCATACTCTCTTTTAGTTCTTATAGAGCATGGCCACTCTCATGTGTTTGAGAGGGCATGTAGAAGCCAGAGGTCAGATTGCTTTCCACTTTATAGATTTGAAGACAAGATCTCTCACTTCCCAGGATCTGGAAAGAAGGCTGGAGGTGTTGGCACTGATTCCAAACTAGGCTGGTAAAGGACTAGAACTTTAGAACTCACAGACACATCATTGATTTACAATTAATTTATCAATGTATTTGCTTATTAATTTATTGCAGTGGTGGGAATTGATGCTGGGGTTTCACACTCATGTGCTGAAGCGATACTCCCTCATTAAACTCTATTTGCAGTCTCTTGAACTTGTGATCCTCCTGCCTTTACCTTTCCACCGCCACACCCAGTTTATATTGGTCCAGGGGATGGAACACAGGATTTTGTGCATGCCAGGCAAGCCCTCTCCCAACTGAATTACATCCCCAGTCCTAAATGTCATGGTCTATTAACTCCTCAAGTGACATTTTCCATCACTTCGCAACAGTGAAACTTTTCTAGAATAATCTGACAGTCTGCAGGGATGGCAGTCAGGCAAGGCGCCTCTTGCAGCCCAGCTCTCAACATCTAACCTCCCCCAGCACAAACATCCCGACTGTACTGTGCTGGGGGGAGCGTGGGAAACAGCTCACTTTCTCAAGCAGACGCCAGAAGTTGGCCTTGACTGGATGCTGGTGGGAAACAATCCCATAGAGGCCCATAGAGGCCACATACAGGCAGCTCCCTTCTACAAGGCTGTTTTCAGAGGAATTCAAATTGTCCAACAATCCTGAAAACACTCCCGGTACCATCTATTCTTTGGAATCTGGGCACTGGAATGATTCTATTTTCACAAGACATGCCTGTCTTAGAAATCAAATTTCACATAAAAACCATGAAACTGGGTGACTACTTGAGGCCAAGATCACATAACTCTCTTTAGTATTATTACTGGGAAAGCTGTTTCTTCAGCCAGTTTGACCTTCAACTCAGTCATCTGTGAGGATGAAGAAAACTAAGTTCAGAGAAAGATGCTAAGCAGCTAAACAGCCAGGTTTCAGGTTGATTCCTAATTTTGAGCTTCTCCCTCTAAACTTTTTTTTTCCTTTGAGACATGTCAAAGAATAACTAGCTTGATGGACCAATGTTTCTGCCTGTTAAACATGAAACTCCCCACCCAGTGGGAATCCATGTAGCTACATTCTCCCACCTGAAGCAATAGGGACACTTGGGAACTCCCAAATGTCTTGATTTTGGTTTTGGTTTTTTTGGAGAAGGTTGTATGTATCCCAGGCTAACCTGAAACTAAATATGTAGCCAAAGATGACTTTGAACTCCTGATTCACCTTCCAAACGATGTGACTACAGGCCCAAGTCACCAGTTTGCTTCCAGTAGTCAAGTCACTCCCTGTACTGGCTCCCTCCCTGCACCCAGTGCTCCCTGTGCTGATGCTTTGGTTCCCTTGACCAGCTCATCCTGTCCTTCAGGCTGAAACAGCACTTGCTCAGAGAGCCCTGCCCCCCCCCCCCCCCCCCGCCCAGGACAGGCTCCTTTCACAGGCCCCTCTTTAAAGTCACTCTTCCCTCAGCCTGATCTCTGTCTCTGCTTCCTATTTTCTTAAGCCCTGTTTTCAGGTCCTTACCCTACACAGCAGCAAGGGGTCAGTGATTGTGTCCATCTTGGTCACTACCACAGGTCCAAAGCTTATACATTGCCTGACCCCTGAGTCCCCTTCCTTCCTGACTTTCTTCAGGGACCAGAAGTAAAGGACAAGATCTGTCTATGCAGGCTGCTTTGGAAATGCCTGGAGTGAGCTCCACTGAATCACACAGACCTGGCAGCCCTGCAGTAGTTAGCCCTTCAGAGCACATAAGGGAACCTACATGGTGAATCTCCATTTACAGGGTTCCCAGCACTGCATAAACCTGGGCATGGTAAGTCCAGCAACTGGGATCTGGAATCAGGAAATCAATAGTTCAGGGCCATCCTTTGCTATATAGAGTTACAGGCCAGCTTGTGCTACAGGAGAACCTGTCTTTAAAAAGAAAAAAGTTCAGAGGGGGCCTGAACCCCAGCCCAGAAGCAGCATCTCAAAGACGGAATTGAACACACAATGCCATCACCACCAACAAAAACAAAAATAACAGAAACCAGCAATTATTGGTCATTAATATCCATTAATATAAATGGTTTCAATTCACCTATAAAAAGACACAGGCCAACAAATTGAATACAAAACCAGAATCTATCCTTCTGCTGCATAAAAGAAACATACCTCAACCTCGCAGACAGACATTATACCTCAGAGTAAAGGGTTAGGAAAAAATTTACAATCGAATGGACCTAAAACAAGCTGGTGTAGCTATCCTAATATCTAGAAAAATAGACTTCAAACTAAAAGCAATCAAAAAAGATAAAGAAGGTAATTTCATACTCATCACAGGAAAAATCCATCTCTAAGAGAAAACCTCAGTTCTGAACATCTATACACCAAACACAAGGGCTCCTGCATTTGAAATTAAAAATTACTAAAACTTAAATCACTAATCAAGCCCACACACTAATAGTAGGAGACTTCAACATCCCACTCTCACCACTGGACAGGTCCACCAGACAGAAGTTTAACAGAGAAATAAGGAAACTAACAGATGTTATGATTAAAATGGACTTAACAGACATCTACAGAACATTCCACCCAAACACAAAAGAATATACTTTCTTGTTAGCACCTCATGGAACCTTCTCAAAAATAGATCACATTCATATTTAGTAACAAAGCAAACTTCAACAGATACAAAAAAAAAAAATTGGAATAAATCCCTGTATCCTATCGGATCACCATAGCTTAAAGTTAAAATTCAACAGCAACATTAATTTCAGAAAGCCCACAACACAAATACATGGAAATTGAACAAGGATCAACTGACTCACCACTGGGTCAATGAAGAAATAAAGAAAGAAATAAAAGACTATCTAAAATGTAATGAAAACATACCCAAACTTATGGGACACAATGAAAGCAGTGCAGGCAGGAAAGTTCACAGTACTAAATGCCTACATAAAGAAACTGGAAAATTCCACACTAGTGAATTAACAGAACAACTGAAAGCACTAGAACAATAAGAAA